TTAAACAGCCTAAGGGTGTACTCACACTATGCTATTAGAACCGTGCCCAGGCCCATTACCCGGATAGTTTGAGAAGTGCGAGTGTGCTGAATCGGGCTCAGGCAGGGTTTACTTGGCTGGCCCTGGCCTGGTTGGAAGAGGTGGGCCTGAGCGCGGTTCACTTGGGCTTTGGAGTGGTATGTTTGTAGTGCGAGTGCAAAACGCACCAAAGCCCGAAACTGAAAGACTCGACTTTTAAAGAGCCCATATTATGGGTTTTTGAAAATTCCCCTCCATGTAGTGTGTAACACAGCTCTAAGTGAAGTGAAGTATCCAGCTAAGGCTTAAATCTGTAAGAATACAGTGTTTAAAACTGTTGATTCATCTATAAAAGAGTCGACTCATAGTGCTTCAAACGAGTCGCCTTGATACCGACTCATTAGGTGTTTCGCCATGACGTACGAACGAAACCAAGTTATTGACGTGCACGCGCAAACCCGGGAGATTTCAAACCTGAGGCCCCGCCCTCTGACGCAGAAACCCAGACACACACGCACACCCACAAACACCCACAAACACACGCACACAAACATGCCGGTCGATTGAAGTAACACTGCAGATGGACATTATATTGAGTCTCTACCCAAAGATGAAACATCAGCATTATAACCAAGCAGTTGGAAACTTCTGGAAGCTACATGCTACAAAGAATACTTCATCTGAGTTTGTTAAAGGAAGGATCAGTAAAGAGTAACTGATGGACGTCAGGATGGGTTTCTTCCATTTCTCAAGTGTAAGTACGTGCGGTTAAAGTTGTTGCCTCGTTTACTCTAGCTTGCAAATGTATTTAGTTGTGATTTGTTACTTGTAACCGCGTGTACTGTATCAGGTTAACTGGATATATTATCTTATCGCGTGCAAAGTCACGTTAAAAACGCAACGCGTGCTGTTTGTTTATGGAGCTCCGTACTAGAGTTCTGCTCCCGCGATTTATTCGGAAATTTATTCCCGCGCCGCAGAAATCTGGCGCGGGGACAGCCGCGGGAATAAATTTCCGAATAAATCGCGGGAGCGGTCGGTAACGGGTTTAATTTGGGACGGGAGCGGGCTGTCTAGCAATATCACGGATATTGCTATGCGAATTAGAAAGAGAGAGTCTGCGTGGTGCTTGTGTGTGTGTTAGTGCGCACGCGCGCGTATGAGAGAGAGAGAGAGAGAGAGAGAGAGAGAGAGAGAGAGAGAGAGAGAGAGCGAACGAACGAACGAACGAACGAGCTTTGGACAGCTTGGCTGTCTGGACTGTATACTGGGTGATATTTGGTTGTGTTCTCCGCTCTAGCGGGACCGGGCGCGGCGGGCAGAAAACGGAGCGGGTTCTCAGGCTAAAACCTGGCGGGTGCGGGCGGAAGCGGGAGCGTTGTCATCCGGAGGTGTGTGTGTGTTTTTGTGTGTGTGTGGTATGGCGAGTACACGACTGTCTCCTTCGTTCGGTTATCCGTGGCACTATCCACTCGCCATAGTGTGGCAGCTAAAATCCATGTCTACACTATCGAGCGTGTATGAACTGTGATTACTTTTTAAATTGCTGATTAGCTATTGGCCATTTCCCTCTCTGACTGAAGGCAGTCTACCAATCGCGACAGACTGTCATCGGTCCAATCAGCGCAGATTAGCTCCGCGCTAAGGAGGGGTTTGGGAACAAATGAATCACTGGACGATTCATACAGGAGTCGCTGGGATAATTAGCTAAAAATAAATGCAGATTATAAGACCATGAAAGTGTTTTTTGACCTTGCATGCATATTAGACTGTTGTTGGAGACCCTTACAACCAGGATATGACCCTATTTCATGTATAATATGGGCTCTTTAAGGGACTGTTTCATATGGATTTATTAATCAATATTACTCTTCAATGAACACAAACTGCCGTAGTTTATTAAATATGCAAACCCCTCACTGCACAACAGCCGCGCACCTTTAGCAAACCTCCTCATTCCTGCAGCATGAGGGCTTTATGACTGTTTATGAGCATCAAAAGTAGCGGATCTGTTCGGCGAAATATCTGACTGCGTGTCACCGCATCCCTAAGGACTGTTTGGCGAAATATTTGACTGCATGTCACTGCATATCAAAGGACTTAAACGATTCAACTAAAGAAATCTCCACTGTGCTGAGCGAAAGCGCTTACTGAACAGGGCAGCATCGATGACGCAAGCGTGCCCAGGCACTATTTTAATGTGAGTGCGGGCCGACGGGGGAGACGGGAGGGGGGACAAGCGTGCTTCGGCCCGGTTCGAGGCAACTGTACATAGTACGAGTACGGCCTAAGAATTGTTTTCACTGAGCTGTACAGTTCAGTCCAATCCAGTACAGATAACTGCAATCAGGCTTTCATTTACACTACCAACGGTACACTTGTGACCAACGTAAGTTTCATTCGAAGAAAAATGTCATACTTGTCAACTACATTGCATCTTTTGTGAACTCAAGTTCATTATTCGTCAATTGTGATTGAGAACATTTGGGCTTGACTCCTCTAATCAGGTACAGAGCAATCTCGCCTCTCAGAGAAGAGAAAGCGATGCAAACAAAATTTGACTGATTAATGCTGCATTAAACAGTTTAAAGTCATGTAAAAGCTTTTTCTTTTAAGCTTTTTCTTAAAAAAAAAAAGTCATGTCGAAGCTGTCAGCAACGCTTGGCAAAAACAAGATAAAACAATTGTAAAAAGTATGTGTATTCATTCACTTTCTTTTCGGCTTAGTCTCTTAATTAATCTGTGGTTACCACAGCGAAATAAACCACCAACTTATCCAGCATATGTTTTACGAAATGAAGGGTAACATGAGTGTGCTATTATTATTGTTTTTCTCAAACATGTGGTGAAACGGCAATAGGCTTTGTGTAGCTGTACTGTTGGTTAAAATGCAAAATTTTGTATAGACTCAGAATGGTGGACTTAAACAGACGTTACATTTGTCCTGGTCATTAATGCTCATGATAATTCTGATGTTGAATTATAGTGTTTGAGACATGCTTACAATCTGTAATTTTCTGTTTAAAATCTGTCACTGACATGATTTTCGTGAATACAGAAGACTGGGTGGGTATTTTTGCATTTCGGCGGGTTTTTAGACTTTTTGGGCTGGAATCCGTCAGCTACATCTGGCAACACAGTGTGCACTTTCGGTTTTCAGAATTTCAGATTCTGTTCACTAAAGTAAACTTTATTTAGAGGCACGTGTAAACGTCTGCCCTCCCTCCCTGTGGTAACCCAGGTGATCACGTCACGTGTGATTTTGCAGTCGCAAATACATTACATGAAGACAGAAATTACATTTTTTAGGTTAATTATACCTTTTAAATACAGCATGTGACTATCAACACCATTTGGAGGTGTCCACGTGGCTGAACAACGAATGTAAAACAATGTGAAGGCTTGAACGGCCACCATTGCTTTTCTCCATGTTCTTCATGTTTTTGGACTGTGTGGGAAACTACATGTATTTTTTGTGTTGTTAATGTAGTTTGGGAAAAACTGATGTTAAATTTTATTATTATTCTTTTTTAATTCTCATTATTATTATTATTATTATTATTAATCTTTTAAATTAAATCACAATAGGCAAAGGTTTGCATCGGCAGGTCACACTTCAGTGTCCAAAGCCATAAGCAAGACAATTACAACAAGTGCATATTAAATGATTTGCCGCGATGAAGTGAAATTGTAGATCAAATGGATACGTTTTATCTTCGATATAAAATATCCTAATCCTGTTTACACATGCAACTTTTTGGTTGGGTAAAATTGAGCTGTTATTCTAAAGAAAAAATCTGACCACTCGTTCAGGCTATACATATTAATATTATTAGGCTACCGAGGTGGGTTTTGTTGTTTAATGTGTAAAAGCTTTTTCTATTTTTTTAACTAACATTTTTATAATAAAGTTCACCATAGTCAGTTTTGGAAACTTCACTGTGGTTTATACAAAATGTAATTGTATTCATCGAATCGAAAGCTTGTGAATCGAAATCAAATTGAATCAGGCCATCTGAAATCCAGCTCTAAGGTCCACTTTACATCAGAACACACCATCAGAAGAAAACATGACCGAATGTCTTTACACAACTCATGATTATGTTAAAACAAAAAGGGCTTATTTTATTTATAATTTATTATAATTTAATTAAACGCATTTCATCTGGATCACAAGGGGGAATGAACGAATACTGACTGATCTTAAATGTCAACACCAAAACTTTTATATCAGCACACACAATCAAAGAGACACCATCCCTGACATTAAGCCACTGCTGTCAACAGTGGTTTGAGTGAGATAAAGAGTCACAAAAATTCTATGTGCAGGATGTGCATACTGGAATAACAGCAGCCATTGTGTGTGAATGGGTCACCAGAGAAAGAGGCTTTCAGTGCAAAACAAGCTAATGGCATCAGAAGCACGTGACACATGCAGCTATTGAGAGCTGCTAACCTCCCTTCCCCACTGGTTCCCTCCTCCACCCTCCCAACAGGACGCATCCTGCTGTACGCCATTAACTCACGCATGAGTCCTCCGAGACAGGCAAAGCAAACAGAGAGAGAGAGAGAGAGAGAGAGAAAGAGAGAGAGAGAGAGAGAGAGAGAAAGAGAGAGAGAAATGATGTAGACAGAGCGAGCAAGAGTGAGAGGGGAACGGAAGGAGCACAGACGGGGGAGGAGAGTGATGCTTACTGCGAGCAGGAAGGGAGCATTTCCCCTTCAGTGTGGGAAGGGGGGAGGGGTGGGGGTTAGGAGATTAGCACTGTGGCGCCTGTGTCTTGGGGAGGGCCAGGATATGCAGCGAGGAGGAAACAAACAGCTGTAAAAATCCATTTCCACACTTGTGGGTCACAGACGGCACCAAGGCCGGCAAGAGAAACCCTCAAATGGGACTGCTGCCACCCACATGTACAACGGGAACTTTAAAAGTTTTTTTTTTTTTATGGTGATAAAAGACATGCTTAATTTACACTACTCACCAGCATGTGAGGCACTTTCTGCATGGGTGGAGGTGATTGGTGAGTAGGTGCCCACGCCTGCTGAGACGGAGGGGAGCTCTGGTGGTGTGCAGCCAGGTGTGTCTGTGATGGAGGAATTGAAGGAGGGGTGTGCACCTGCTGCAGCTGTTGCTGCTGGAAAGGCAATGGGGGCTTTTGCAGCTGCTGGCACTGTGCTTGTTGGGCATGTAGCCTCTGGTCCTGTGGGCCTGGTGGTTCTGTGTGGTTTCCACCCGGTGTTGTTGAAGATCTTCCTTGTGCAGCTGTAGCTCTGTGATTGGGTGACAAAGCAGCGTACATCTGGGTTGTTGGAGGATGAGGGTGTGTAGAATGTGATGGCAGCTGCTGGTGGGGAAGTGGCTGTGCTGCGTTCATTGGGCCAGCTCCCCTCTGGGCATGAGCCATTGGGCCTTGAGACTGATGTGGTACTCCGGGGTAACCACCCACATCGGTAGCCAAACCTGCACTGGGAGGGCGTACCTGCTGGGGAGGTGGAGTGCCTGCAGGGGTGGCTAAATTCCTCATGGGCGACATGGAAGGAGGGGAGGAGTATGATCCCTGAGGTGGAGGTGGTAGATGTTGCTGCAGCTTCGGCTGGGCTGTAGCCTGGTTCTGAGCTGGATGCATAGGCTGGGTATTGATTTGGTTCACATGAATGGGCTGCTGGTGCAATGGTCCCTGTTGACCCCCAGGTGTAGGGTAGCGCTGAGGCCCTGCCGGAGCAGGGTAGCGCTGCACCTGGGTCACAGGAGCATTAGGGTTGCTGTTACTGCTGGTGGTAAGGCTCAAGTTGGGACTCATCCCTGATGTGTTGGCTAATCCCTGATTAAGGTTGCCATATGAAGAATAGGGAGGGTACTGCCCTGAGCTGTTTACGGTGTTGGAAGGAACTTGCTGGTTGTGCATGTTAAATCCCATGTTTTGGTGGGGTCTTCCACCCATCACTTGCTGCTGCTGCTGTTGCTGTCGTGAAGGGCTTTGTGGGAACTGGGGGTTGTGGCTCGCAACAGAATCTGGATGAACCGGACCCTGGCCAGGCCTGTGGAGAAACTGCTGATTGGGCTGCTGATGCTGCTGAGAAGGTTGTGCTAGGTGACGTATGGGGGGTCCCGACATGCCAGGATTCTGAGTCATACCCACGTGACCCAAAAAATGATTGGCTTCCTGAGGGAGGCCTTGTGGAAAGTGATTCATTCTGGGAGGTGTTTGGGTCTGGTTGTGGCCCTGTATGGCATAGTCACCACGGCCAATAAAAGGGCCCATTTGGTGGGCATGTCCTTGTGGTCCAGCAGGGCCATGCTGATGAGACGAGGCTTGAGGGGGTTGCTGCTGAAAGGGGGGTCTAGTTTGTTCAGGCACCTGCATTGGTTGAGCACCCCATGTATTTCCGCTGTCTGGGAAAGATTGGCTCCGTCCATCTCCTTGCGCACCTGGGTAAACATGATGCCCTGCAGCACCTCCAGCACCTGCCTGAGCACCATGATATCGGGAATGTGGGGAGGACATGCCATTCACTGGTCCATTCCCCATCATCCGACCCCCTTGCTGGTCCATTGGATGCATCTTGGGTTGCTCGTACTGATTAAAGGGGTCAAAATGGTGGCCAAGCTTAGCCTGTCCAGGGACTGCAGGTGAGGAGAGGTGAAGAGAAGGAGGAAGCTGCCCATAGCCTTGGTGCTCATGGGGCATCTGTTGACTCATAGGATTTGTCTGACCTTGAGGGTAGCCACAGTCCCCTAGGCCCTCCAACTCATCAGAGAACAGATTCCCATCATCTCCGAAGAGGCTCATCATGCCTGGGTCAGCCATGGCTGCAGTGCTCCTGCTGTGCAGCCAAGCTTCAGAAGCAGGACAGGGAATGTGTGCTCACACAGAGGTGGATGTCCTCAAATCCGCTAATCCGCTAACTAATCTGCAACATGTCACTCCATATTTCCTTAATTCTCTCAGAGAACGCAGCGTCAGGCGAAGTCAGGTTACAGGACCTGTAAAGGGGGAGAGAGAGAGAGAGAGAGAATTAACAAATATCGCTAGGTGAGAGCAAGCTTTTTGCATTTTGTTCACTTTAAGCATGCTTTATTAAATTTTTAGCAAGTGAGTCAGAACTTTTGAGATATAAGAGCAGTTGAAGGGTGGTGAGACTGGGGCTTTTTTGCAGTTAAATCAGTTGTAACTGACTCTTTGCCAACCTTTGATCCCAGCCCCCACCCCGTTCCTTCTGCTTCCAAACAAAAGGGCCAACACACACACACACACACACACACACACCACAAGCCTAAATTCATTCATTCTTTACAATTCGTTGATGGTGGGGAAAGAACAAAGGAGTTTGGAGTGAGGCAGCAGTGGAAGCAGTGGTTGTTAAACAACAGCAGCTGCCAGACCAGGCAGGCAGATGTAGGAACACAAGCAGGCGGCCCACCTGCTGAAGCCAAGTCTTTAAACCATCTACATTGCTTCCTGAATGTGCGTTTCTGAAGCACTTTGGAGCAGGAGTATTACTAACCAGTCTTCCCCAAGTGCAAAGTAATCAGATAAGCAGGGGGAATTATGTAGATGTGAGATAAACCAGGCAAGGGTGGGGGCAAATATAACCTGTTAAGATGTCCTACTCATTTACTCACCAACACACATACGCAGATGTAGCTGTGGTTAAGCACATATGGGGGGTTTTAAACATGTAGAAGAGACGGGTGGGCAAGGAATGCGTTGCCTCAACTCCAACTACCCCACAAAAAAAATTTTCCACCCCTGACAAAGCTCCTCCCATATGGTTCCTCCTTTAGTCCTGATTCACCCAACCCCCAATTTTCCTCTTTCTCTAGGCCTCTCCACATGGCTGCTAAAACTATCCTGGTGAAAATCTACACTGACCCAGCTAATCTAAGGATCAAAGAGCCACACTGAAAAACAAGTTTCAGCATGTTGTAATTTAAACATTCTTTATGGGGAAATAAATAGCCACAAATGTACTGAAATTGTCAATTAATTGTTATACAACACTATGGCAACAAATAAAACAAACCAACAAAACTAGTGACAAACGAGCAAATGTGTAAATCAAGATTACTTCACAATTGTAATAGGCTAGTGGTCATGCACTGTGGCAAGAGGTGACAAGACTTCCTGTAAGGTAATATCACAGCGCAGACACTTGATTACAAACCACACACACACACACACACAAAAAAAGTTACACTTACACAACTTCACCAAAACCAACAGACCAGCACAAACAACCTTCACTAACATCAGAAATAGCCTATCAAATGAGCATGCTATCCTATTGCATTGGATTAAACTAAACGCTCCACTTCTTGTTGTCCTGAAGACCTGAAGGTGGTGACACAGGCTGACCATTACAACCACAGCTAATCTTAATGAGAGGAGTGATCGGAAGGAGGAGATACGTCTGCCTGTGGGTGACAGCACCACAGCTTTAATCTCTTCACAGCTCTAGTTAAGAGCAGGAAGAGGAGTCTCAACACCACAGTCATAAATCAGTCCCTATTCACCAGAGTACTACGCTATTCTTGCTGCAATGGCGGGGGATGGTGGGAGATCCTACAGAGCCATGCCAAAAGCCGCAAATTTGAATCCCTATGATCAGATTTGGCGTCTAAGCCGGCAGGCTGACCGTTCACCCAATTCTCTTTGGAGAGTGACAGATGTGGCTGAGTGCCAGAACAGCTCCTTCTGGAGAACCACACCCCTCAGGAGGAGCACAAGCCATAGAGCAAAAGCACTGTGACGTACTCACTTACTCATAGCGTAACTGATGCGAGTGGGTGGCCAGGCTTGCCCCTGACCAGAGGGCAGAAAAAGAACTGAAAACACAGACATTCACATTCACAACCAGGGAATGGTGTTAAATAGTTAGCTTACCCAAACAAAACATAAATAACAATTGAGCAGATTATAATAAAAAATTTGCATTTCATTTTCATTAAATGTTTTGACATTAACATTAGAAATACCAGAACATCATAAGGAAAAAATTGCAATTCCATCAATAAGAAAAACAACACTATTAAAAAAAAATCTGTTTTAAAATTGTACTCAATGTCACAAGGACAAGCAATGTAGCCTACTTGGTGGGTAACAAATACTTGCAAGATCAGCCTTCAGCATTTCCAGTGATTCATGGCCCAAGTTATATAGGCTAAAAAGCCCAGTGCATGAGAAGTGTGATCACTGTGCTGCATTATAAATCTGAATAAAGGTCCAGTTAGGGGCAAGTTATTGCCACAATTCTCAACCCCTCATTGAGAATAACTCATGCGGGAAAAACAAAACCAGAATATTTTTGAGAGTCACCATACAGATCATGTGATCGGCCAGTCAGTTTAGACTTTTCAGTCAATTTATAAAACAATATACTAGTTTCAAACATACTAACAAATACACAGTTAAACCTCAGTTACAGTGCCCAGGACCAAAGCCCACCGTAGTCCAATTAATATGGACACATACAAAAACATTCAATATTTTGTAAGTTCAAATTCAAAAAATTGAAAACTGGATGTTTAATGTGCATTATTTATTAATTATTATTATTACATTTTTACTTTACATCAAACACAAACAAGAAACTCTTGGCAACTAAATAAAACGGAATAAACATAACTTATTGACTTTATTTCAAGCAACAATTGATTTTAGTTGTAAGGTTTTAGTGAACTGTAATAACCCTACTTGTAAAGTATGGGCTTATATTTGAGGTGGCATGCAAGAAGTTTAGCGCACGAGCAGAGAAAATCGGCGCGCAAGCACACAGATTCATATACTCGTAGGCTATTAAATAAATGCGATCCCGACTTCTAATACTGCGCTCACAACATTTGTCATTGAAATAATAACGCCACAGGAAGTCGGTAGATCTGTGTAAAAAAATCCTAGAGGCTGATCTCATATGCGCTCTGGCGCGAGGAAGGTGAGCGCGGTTATTTACAACAATCCAGGTGCCAACTACTTAAAAATGCAGAAACTGTGCACAATTTTACTGCGTGTGTGTGTTTTCTGGAGAGTCTTTCACTGACACAGCAGAAGCCCTTATTTCTCTGCGATTGAGGGAATGAAAATGAACATTTCTCTCTCTCTCTCTGTGGCAAATTTCACCTGCTGGTGTGACTTTACCTCGCCTCTCTTTTCCAGTCGGCTGTTACAGCGACACTTCTGGATATAGGTCTGCATTACTGCGGCTGTACCTGTGCATTGTCGCGGGACCAGACTAGATTTCATGCGGCACGGGAATAAATTTGCGAATAAAGCGCGCGAGCGGTCGGTAACTCTGGTGTATTTTTAACAGGAGCGGGCAGTTTCACAATATCGCTCTCGAGCGAGCAAGCAACTGCTTGTTTGATGCTGTCTATTAGGGCTACTTGATTTTGGGAAAAATCATAATCATTAATATTTTGGTCATAATTGTAATCACGATTATTAAATATATATATTAAATATTTTGAAACCCATTTTAAAGTATATTATATTAGCCCCCTTAAGCAATATATTTTTAGATTGTCTACATAAGAAACTACTGTTATACAATGACCTGCTTAATTACACTAAATCGCACTTTGAATCTGAATGCATGTATTTTGAAAAATATCTAGTCAAATATTATTTGTTGTCATCATGAAAAAGATAAAAAAAAATCAGTTATTAGAAATGAGTTATTAAAACTATTATGTTCAGAAATCTTCTTGCCATTAAACAGAAATTGGGGAGGAAAGGGGCTACTAATATTCAGAAGGGCTAATAATTCTGACTTCAACTGCAAATTTTATTTTCCACCCTGCAAAGAGAAATAAATACAATAGAACAAAAATATGAAACAAACTGTGCTTTAAGCAAGACTGTAAGAAAAACACTTTAGGTACAAAAGTCCTTCAGTCAAGAGCAGAGAGGCATGTTCTCCATTTGTTGTTTGATTATTAATCATAAAAAACAGGCGGCAGAAGGATTATCGCGCACTGTCTCTTTAATGGTTTCTCTTTGGCGTGTCTTTTGATTCTCAACTCGTTTGTTTATTACACAAACGAGGGTTGATATGAATAATCGCTAAACGCCGTGTTTTGACACCTATTTGACCATTAAAGCACTCACATTAAGATGACTTTAGCCTGATTTATACTTCTGCGTCAAGTGACCGGTGTAACCCACGGCGCAGGCAACGCGCGTGGCTGTGCATTTATACTTCTGCGCGCTGTCTCTGTTGGTCTGCATTAACACTTCTGAAACGCTAATGGGCAGTGAGGTTGAGTTTCCTGTGTAGAGTTTCTTCGCGGCTTTTTTGCTTTTCCTGAACACTTCCGGGATGTACAAGTGGCTCAAACTCGCTCATTTTGAGGCAGGAACCGGCGAACGTGCAACAACTTTAACTATGAGGTAAACACAAAACAAAACTTTCCATCCGGAGCTCCTTCACGGGACTCCACACTTATAAACAATCGCTCGCGCCATTCGCGCGGCTCTCGGTCCCGCCCAGACTCGTCAGCGCTACCAAGCCGACCAATCAAAGAGCTTACGCTACGCGTCGTTGCGACGTGTAGTTACATTTTTTGAGAGGTGCACGTCAGCGATGGCCACGGCGAAGGGCTATGCGTCAGCGCCGTAGCATACGCCGTCTTTTGACGCAGAAGTATAAATCAGCCTTTTAGATGCGTGCGCTGACTGCGCTCTGCTCGTCTCAGTGTGCGAATGAGACTGAATGCTGACAGCATGCTTCTGTTCTGTGTGTGTGTGTGCCTCACACACAGAATCATGCAGTCTTTTCGCGCTTTTAAGAGCAACACATGTACAACTGGAAAGGGGGCGGTAAATGGTGCAATAATCGTTTATTTCAATGAATGGTTTTTCATAATCGTTAGAAGCCAAAATTGAAATCGCATTTTCGATTAATTGCACAGCCCTACTGTCTATGTTTGTGTATGTGTGTGAATGAAAGACAGCGTGGTGCTGTGTGTCTATGTGTGTGCGTTTATAC